GAAAGAGAGAGAGAGAGGGAGAGAGAGAGAGAGAAAGAGAGGAGAGAGAGAGAGAGAGAGAGAGAGAAATAGAGAGAGAGAGAGAAAAGAAAAGAGTGAGAGATTGAAATCACAAACACAATGATGAAGAATGAATGAGAGACAGGAATGTACGTCTCAGGGGCGCACACGCACGCACACACACACACACACACACACACACACACACACGGATTATGCAAACGAGGATGTTCAGTGTAAAACATGAATAATAATCCTCTCCGGAGGCGAATCTACATTAACACACACACACACACACACACACACACACACACACACTTTAAAGTGACGTGAGGGAAGGAGAAGAAAAAGGAGAGAAAGTGAAGATCCTCCACTGCACATTGTTAAAAACAAAACAAAACAAACAAAAAACCCCCAGAAATCCTCAGCGAGTCAGAGATAATCCCATCTCTCCTCGGCTTTAACCCCAAATCCCCTCCATCTGCTCGCGCTAATCAGAAAAATCAGCTCCATCATGGAAATTAGCACGACTCGAGAAAAAACCCCCCCAAAAAACCCCCAGCCTCTTTCGCTCCGTTTGTTCATTATCGAGGATCAGGAGTAAATAAAACCTCAACAAAATTAACATGCCAGAGCGAAGGAGGAGGAACAGAGCCGTCGAGGAGGAAAAAAAAACAAAAACAAGAAGCAAATAGGTGAAAAAGTTAACAAGCGCAAAGTAAAGAAGCTGTGAAAAAAAAAGGAAAAGAAAAGAAAAGAATGAGCTGAGGAGAGAGTCGGCAGCTCAGAAGCTGCAAAAACAAACAGGAAGATGAAATAAAACGCCGAGTTCAGCGGAGGGGGAAGTGACAGCGTGAAGAAAACCTAAAGAAGTTAAGGAGCTATAAAAAGTAAGGGAGCTAAACGGGGAAAAGTTAAAGCATTTTAACAAAGAAACCATAACTTGCAGTGCCGCCGGAAAGTATTCACCCCCCCCCTCTCTCTCTCTCTCTCTCTATCCGCTGGTGACGCAACATAAAATTTCAGTTTATTAGACTCGGGAGATTTATCTGCACCTCCTGAAGCGACTCTCGACAGAAATAAATGAAACCGTTTATAAAAAAAAGCTCCCCAAACAGGGATTAATCTTAATTAATAAGTATTCACCCCCTTCCCCTTTCTTACAGCAATCTAAATTAGGACTAGTATTTCATTCCCTTGAGCCCTCACGTTACATACACGCGTGTGCAGATCAGGTTCGATCTCGCTATGATGGAGACCAAGGAACGTGAAGCTTCGAGATTAAGCTGTTGGGAGGAACCGATCTGCACGACCGACACACTACCCCGACCGGGCCAAACCGAGTGCTCGGGTAAGTAGCACAGTTCTCAGAGAAGAGCCCAAGAGTCCGGCTACACCGCTGAAGGAGTTACAGCGCTCCCTGGCTGAGCTCAACAATAGTATCCACTCTTCACAGACCCAGGTCACAGATCTAGTTCCGACCTGCAGCATGGTGGTGGTAGCATCATGGTCACGGGTCGCTTGTTCAGCACGAGGAACTGGAAATCTTGTTGAACATCAAAAGGCAACATGGATGGAACCAAATACAAGCAAATTGTTGAGGAGAACCTGCTCCAGTCAGTCGCACCTCCAACAGGACGACGAGTCAAACTTTGCACCAAGGAACAGAACATTCCCCAACATTCTTTGCAAGCTTATGAAGTTCTTTTACTTTTGAAGATTCTCAGCAGCCATTTCTTCACGTTTTGGATAACTCTTTGCCAGATAGTGAATTTTCAGTATTTCTTTACCCCTTTTTTTCCCTCCCCCTCCGCAACCTCCTGAGGCTTTGATAAAACATGAAAGATATTTCAGAGATGCACGGCCCACGAGAGAGCGATGGCAGGAGTGTGAGAGATGGTGAAGAGCAAAGTCAGCGAGTGTGTGATGGAAATTTTTTAAAAAGTGCTGACGGTGCCTGTGACCGGCTCATTAAAGCCACGTGGCCTTCACAAAAAAAAGAAAATCATAAAATGGAGGCATTCTATGTACTGTTTGTCTCCTGGGGTACATTCTCACTTATTTTTTTGCGGTTTATTAACTTAGGCATGATCGATTAGTGGCACTGCAAGCTAGGCCTTCCGTAGACTCCTGGAGACTCCTGTGTCCTACAGACTCGCTATAAACACATCGAGTTCCATATTTACTTCATACAACTTCTACCATGAACTGTGGGACACTGGAGTCATTGAGTCTGAATGGACCATGTCCAAGTCCTCAATTGAAGGACGCCATGGTGGACACCAGTGGTAAGAGAAGGCAGTTCAGTTGAAGGAGGAAGCCAGAAGGGCTGCGTCTAAAGCAGCGGCAGAAGCAAAAGCTTAAGAGGCCATGGAGGCAGACTTTCAGGTGGCCTCAAAGATGTTCTGGCAAACTGTGTGACGCCTCAGAAACAAAGACAAACCCATGCGCAAACTCTGCTGAGCGAGTGTGTGGAAACGTTCACCTCTACTTGGAATGTCGTTGAGTGATTAGCACTTTGAGTGCCAAAGATCTGGTGTTTTCCATCTATTTCACTGGTGGATGAGATTCAACCAGAGAAGCTGAAGACACTGGAGAAAGTTGGAGTGGTTTGGTTAACTTGGCTCTTCAATGTGGCATGAAGATCTGGGGCAGTGCTTTTGGACTGGCAAACTGGGAAGGATGGTCACCAGAGGGTGTGATCCAATTCTCAGGGAATCACAATCCTCAGCCTTCCAGGAAGAGCTTACACTAGGACTCTCGAGAGGAGACTCGCAATGAGACTCTCTAGGATCCAGGAGGAACAATGCAAGTTCTGCCCAGGCAATGGACCAGCTCTTTACTTTTTCCACAGGTGGCAGAGGAGTATTCTAATCCAGTCTACATGTGTTTTGTGGATTCAGAGAACACCTGTGACTGTGTACCGCAACAATGTGGGACTAGAGAGAACATCCCTCGTTTGTAGATGATCTCTTGGGTCTGTCCGAAATAGAGCTCCGACACACACACACACACACACTCTCTCTCTCTCTCTCGCATAATCACCCATACAATCCCACATCCTCCTACACAATCCCACATCCTCCTACACAATCCCACACAATCCCACATCCTCCTACACAATCCCACATCCTCCTACACAATCCCACACAATCCCACATCCTCCTACACAATCCCACATCCTCCTACACAATCCCACATCCTCCTACACAATCCCACACAATCCCACATCCTCCTACACAATCCCACACAATCCCACATCCTCCTACACAATCCCACATCCTCCTACACAATCCCACATCCTCCTACACAATCCCACATCCTCCTACACAATCCCACATCCTCCTACACAATCCCACACAATCCCACATCCTCCTACACAATCCCACACAATCCCACATCCTCCTACACAATCCCACATCCTCCTACACAATCCCACATCCTCCTACACAATCCCACATCCTCCTACACAATCCCACACAATCCCATCCCCTACACAATCCACATCCTCACAATCCAATCCTCCTACACAATCCCACATCCTCCTACACAATCCCACATCCTCCTCACACAATCCCACATCCCACATCCTCCTACACAATCCCACATCCTCCTACACAATCCCACATCCTCCTACACAATCCACATCCTCCTACACAATCCCACATCCTCTAAAATCCCACATCCTCCAACACAATCCCACACTCCTACACAATCCCACACAATCCCACATCCCTACACAATCCCACACTCCTACACAATCCCACATCCGCCTACACAATCCCACATCCTCCTACACAATCCCACATCCTCCTACACAATCCCACATCCTCCTACACAATCCCACATCCTCCTACACAACCCCACATAATTCAACACAATCCCACATCCTCCTACACAATCCCACATCCTCCTACACAATCCCACATCCTCCTACACAATCCCACACAATCCCACATCCTCCTACACAATCCCACATCTCCTCACACAATCCTCACCTCCTACAAAATCCCACATCCTCCTACACAATCCCACATCCTTCTACACAATGCCACATCCTCCTACACAATCCCACATCCTCCTACACAATGCCATATCCTCCTACACAATCCCACACAATCCCACATCCTCCTACACAATCCCACATCCTCCCACACAATCCCACATCCTCCTACACAATCCCACATCCTCCTACACAATCCCACACAATCCCACATCCTCCTACACAATCCCACATCCTCCTACACAATCCCACATCCTCCTACACAATCCCACATCCTCCTACACAATCCCACATCCTTCTACACAATGCCATATCCTCCTACACAATCCCACATCCTCCTACACAATGCCACATCCTCCTACACAATCCCACATCCTTCTACACAATCCCACATCCTTCTACACAATGCCACATACTCCTACACAATCCACACCACAATCCCTCCACTCAATGCCATATCCTCCTACACAATGCCATATCCTCCTACACAATCCCACATCCCTACACAATCCCACATCCTTCTACACAATGCCAATCTCCACACAATGCCATATCCTCCTACACAATCCCACATCCTCCTACACAATCCCATCATCCTCCTACAAAATCCCATACAAATCCCACATCCTCCTACACAATCCCATCACTCCTACACAATCCCAGCCAATCCCAATCCTCCTACACAATCCCACATCCTTCTACACAATGCCACATACTCCTACACAATCCCACACAATCCCACATCCTCCTACACAATCCCACATCCTCCTACACAATCCCACATCCTCCTACACAATCCCACACAATCCCACATCCTACACACAAAATCCCACATCCTCCTACACAATCCCACATCCTCCTACACAATCCCACATCCTACTACACAATCCCACATCCTCATACACAATCCCACAGATCCCACGTGATCTCAGTGATTTTCATATATAACTACATACAGTTCCATATAATCCCACATAATTCTATAGTGTTCCAGGTGGGAAGTGGTAGCTCAGTGGTTAGGACGTCGGACTTCTGATCGGAAGGACGTGAGGTCAAACCCCAGCACTGCCGCGCTGCCACTGCTGGGCCCTTGAGCGAGTCCCTTAACCCTCAGCTGCTCAGGTGTATAAAAATGAGGAGATAGTTGTGAGTCTCTCTGGATAAGAGCGTCTGCCAGATGCTGTAAACGTAATCCCACTGACACTCGTTTTCGGCTCCGATTATTGTTGGACATTTTTACTCCTCTCCTTTTTTTGGTTGGAACTTGCTGAGTCATCTCTTTTTTCCTTCTGCCTCATCAATGCACTGCCTGGCTCTTTCCTCAGTCACATTCCTTCCTAAACATCCTCATTCCTTCGCTGACAGCAGCAGAGAAAGACGAGTGAAATACAGGGGGAGGGATGGGGTCTGTCCGTCATCACAACATCCCATCTATTTTATCCCTCCTCAGCATTTTTTGGAGAGACAAACACAGATGGTAATTATATGCTCCAATTCAGACGTGACCTCATTTCCTGTCAAAACGACATCCCTGTTCTAAAACAGACATCACTGTTAAACTGTCTATCTGTCTCGATGTCTGTCTATCTTTATTCCCTCCCGATTTCCCTGTCTGTGTGCTCTCTCAGTATCTGCGTTTCATACCGCAGTTCCCCTGACAACGTCCGTCTATCCATACATCCTGTCTGTCTATTATTGTACATTTACCTATACGACTGTCTGTCTGCCTGTCTACCCGACCGTCTGTCTGCCTGTCTACCCGACCGTCTGTCTGCCTGTCTACCCGACCGTCTGTCTGCCTGTCTACCCGACCGTCTGTCTGCCTGTCTACCCGACCGTCTGTCTGCCTGTCTACCCGACCGTCTGTCTGCCTTTCTACCCGACCGTCTGTCTGCCTTTCTACCCGACCGTCTGTCTGCCTTTCTACCCGACCTTCTTTTTCTCTCCGTCTGTCTTCCTACCCGTCTGACTGTCCGTCTTCCTCTCTACCAGTCTGCCTGTCTGTCTGTCTACCAGTCTGTTCGTCTTCCTACCCGTCTTTCTGCCTGCCCTTCCGTCTTTCTGCCTGTCTACCCATCTGCCAGCTGTCTGTCTGTCTACACCTCTGCCTTCTATCCGTCTGTCTACCCCTCCACCCGTCTGTCTGTCTACCCCTCCGCCCTTCTGTCGGTCTACCCGTCTGCCTATCTTTCTACCCGTCCCCGACTGTCTGTGTCGTGTCTGCCCTGCACGTCCCCTCTGAACGAGCGGTTACTATAGAAACAATATCAGACCGAGCTGCGCTGCCGTCAGAGCTGCTTCTGACCAATCACAACCCAGAACTCAGCGGTGCCATGGTGTAAATTAATACAAATAAATCCATGATCTAATAACGTACCGGTTCAGGGGCCAAGAAAGTGTTCGGGTGACTGTTCATTTATACTCCCGTGTGTGTGTGTGTGTGTGTGTGTGTGTGCATGTGTGTGTGTGTGTGTGCGTGTGTGTAAAGAAGGAAGTGGGAAATTTAAATATAAAACAGAAGACATTATTAATCGACAGTTTAATCGTTTCCGTAAGAGGTCAGATTTATTTATTTATTTATTTATTGTTCTGCACCCAGACACAATATTGCATCGTCTGTCCTTGTGTGTGTGTGTGTGTGTGTGTGTGTGCAGTTTTAGATGAAATACGTGTCTCCCCTGGGATTTAGATGTTAAGAAATCAATACCAGTAATGAATGTCCCTCTGTGTCTCTCACACACACACACACACACACACACACACACACACACACACACACACACACAAAGCAATAAAGCATACAGTAATAAATCAAAAGAAAAGCAGGAGCTGTGGAAATGACAGCAGCTGAGTGCTGATATTAAATTCTCACGTCATGCTAACAGCGAGCATTTCATCACTGCTAATTTTAAACACGCTAAAGCTAGCTAGAGTTAGCCACTGGCGCGATCGGTGTGTGTGTGTGTGTGTGTTCGTATTGTGTGTGTACACACCTATAAGAGCCTCGAAGCAGTTAGCCATGGCGTGTCTGAGGTCAGACTCCCGGCACAGATCCGGGCCGTGTGCGTACAGCATGAAGCGGTCCAGCTCCAGTTTCTGCAGGAAATAAACACACGCTAACGTCAGCGTTAGCATTAGCGCTAGGTCATCGGAAAGCATATGAACAGGGGAAGACGACGCGAGGAGACAACTTCGTAGGATGAGCAAGTACACGTGTGTGAAAGTGCTGCATTGGAAATATGTTAATACCCCCCCCCGCCCCCGCCAAAAAAAGAAACCCAGGTGGTTGCGTTGGCGCTAGCCTCCGTGTGATTAGTTTTTTCGTTCGCGTTCCCGTGTGCATCTTTAATCACGGCTTTCAGAAACGACCGGCTCGTCTCCTTCGCCGTTCCCCCGTAAAGCCGCGTTGTCGTCGCACCGCACCGCCGCTTCCATCCGCGGCTACGTGACGGATCGGCGTGTTCATTAGATACGGCCGAGACAAAAACAAAACGTTAAAAAGGTCGAAGAAAAAGAAAACAACAAAAATGAAAACAAAAAGTCAACGGCAGGGGAAAAAAAAGAGCAAGAACCGCAGAGAAATGAATAAACGTGAACCCCACCGGGAAGAGAGACGACTTCACAGAGAATCACGAGGACGTCTTGCACAGACGGGGGTTTGTTTTGTTCCTTTTTTTTTTTTTTAACGGGAGATAATTACAAGTGTTCTTGAGCGTACAGAAGTAAACAACCCGAAACGAGAGAATTGGAACAAGGCCAAAGTAAAAAAAATGATCTCAAAAAGAGAGAGACACACACAAGGTTTATGCAAATTTAAAACAAAAACAACACTTCATCGTGAAAAAACTTCTCTTTGTCTCGCAACGAGACGGAGAAGATTAAAAGGTCATCTCTCTCTCTCTCTCTCTCTTCTTCCTGCTGGAGAATTGGAACGAGGCCAGGCGTGACGTCCGGCGGAACACACTCAAGTGGAGAAACGTTCTGTTTTAGGATTTTGTTTAGGTGATGAATTGGAACACCACCGAAGAACTTTCACGCACTTCGTTTTCTGTCGAATACAGCACCCTCCGATAATATTGGCACCCATGGTACATACAACCAAAAGGCGGCCATGTTCGTCCCAGTCCCCTGACCTGAAACCACAGTAAACCTGCTGAAGAGGACAGTCCACCAGCGTGGACCTCGACATGTGAAGGATCTGGAGACGTTCTGTATGGAGGAACGCTCTCAGATCCCTCGCCATGTATTCTCCAACCTCATCAGGCGTTACAGGAGAGGTAACGGAAGGTAGCACAAAGTATTGAATAAAAGGGTGCCAATAATTATTGCACACCTATATTGTGTTTGCAATTGTTTGAGATCCATGAGAGCAGAGAATTTGAGACTTTCTTTTTGAACAAAATGTTAAACAGTAAAGAAAAATTTTCACAGCCGTTGCTCATATTTACCAAGGGTGCCAATATTAATGCACAAAAAAAACAAAAACAGATGAACAAAAATAAACAGAAACAGAAAGTAATAAACTAATGAATGAATGAACCAGGACTGGATAAACGAGAGTAAAGAGGAGTGAAGTATTGGAGCTGGAATTCAGTCAAACTCACTTTACTCGGAATTTGTTGGGTTTTTTTTTTGCCAATTTACAAACAAGGAGATGTGATGGATACGGATTTTGTCTTGCGGCGAAACCCGTGCTGGAGCGTCGTCGTGAAGGGAAGTGAAAGTTGTAATTGCTTTTTTCTCCCTCGTGTTACAGAATGATTACGGAGGTCTGATGTGGAAAAGAGAGAGAGAGAGAGAGAAGTGTGCGGAGGAAGCGAGGGGGGAAACAGAGCGAGGGTTTAATTCCTCACGGGGGAGTCGTACATTATCCCTGCAATAATCTCAGCTTTAATTACACACGCAGACTGACGGAGAGCTGAGGGAGAACGGCAGGCCGCGCGCTACAAACCAGCGGCGGAGAAACGGACCAATCGCACTCCGGCGTCCGAGCAAACGGACCAATCGCACTCCGGCGTCGAGCAAACGGACCAATCGCACTCCGGCGTCGGAGCAAACGGTCCAATCGCACTCCGGCGTCGGAGCAAACGGTCTAATCGCACTCCGGCGTCCGAGCAAACGGACCAATCGCACTCCGGCGTCCGAGCAAACGGACCAATCGCACTCCGGCGTCCGAGCAAACGGACCAATCGCACTCCGGCGTCCGAGCAAACGGACCAATCGCACTCCGGCGTCCGAGCAAACGGACCAATCGCACTCCGGCGTCCGAGCAAACGGACCAATCGCACTCCGGCGTCCGAGCAAACGGACCAATCGCACTCCGGCGTCCAAGTAAACGGTCTAATCGCACTCCGGCGAGGTAACGGTCTAATCGCACCCGGCGAGTAAAACGGTCTAATCACACTCCAGCGAGTAAACGGTCTAATCACACTCCAGCGAGTAACGGTCTAATCGCACTCCGGCGTCCGAGTAAACGGTCTAATCGCACTCCGGCGTCCGAGTAAACGGTCTAATCGCACTCCGGCGTCCGAGTAAACGGCCTAATCGCACTCCGGCGAGTAAAACGGTCTAATCACACTCCAGCGAGTAAAGGGTCTAATCACACTCCAGCGAGTAAACGGTCTAATCACACTCCAGCGAGTAAACGGTCTAATCGCACTCCGGCGTCCGAGTAAACGGTCTAATCGCACTCCGGCGTCCGAGTAAACGGTCTATCGCACTCCGCGTCCGGAAAGTGCGCGGCTAATCGCACTCCGCGTCCGACCAAACGGTCTAATCGCACTCCGTCCAAGTAAAGCGGTCTTCGCACTCCAGCGAGTAAACGCGGTCTAATCACACTCTGGCGTCGGAGTAAACGGTCTATCGCACTCCGGCGTCCAAATAAACGGTCTAATCACACTCTGGCGTCGGAGTAAACAGTCTAATCACACCCGGCGAGTAACGGTCTATCGCACTCCGGCGAGAGTAACGGTCTAATCGCACTCCGGCGTCAGAGCAAACAGTCTAATCACACTCCGGCGTCCAAGTAAACGGTCTAATCACACTCCAGCAAGTAATAAACGGTCTAATCG